ATTTGAATGAGTGAAAAACAAAAACGTAACTTAATTTGAGTTTAAAGTAATCTTTTCGTGAGTCATGCGTTGTAGAGACAGACGATCGAACTGTTGGTAATATGTTATTTACATGAAAATAGCACTAAGCACTAGTACTAAGTTTTGTAACCTTATCATAGCTCACTGCTGAGCAGAGGCCTCTTTCTCTCATGGTAAAGGTTTGAGCATTAATCACCACGCTTGCTCAAGACGGGTTGGTGATTTCAAACTTATAATTGTGAAATTAAGTCCAGGTTTCCTCACGATGTTTTCCTTCACCGTCTTTCAGTGGTGTGTAAAAAATCTTAGAAAGGACACATGACTCGGAAAAATCACATTGCTACTTGCCAGGATCGATCCCGCGCCCTCGGCAACGAGAGGCGGGCTCTTTAACCACTAGGCCACCACTGACCCGTACTAAGTTACTTGTATTTTTTCCCTTTAATTCCTCAGTATGATTTCTTTTACATTGAACTAGTGCTGGACAGAATATATTATCGACTTTTTAACATACGTAAATTATTTCTATATAATTTTAAAGTCATTATTCGAACATTCATACTAATATTATCAGACAAATTATTAGATTTATCGATAATTTTTTTCCACTACGATAATTTTTGATAAGATAGGTGAAAAACATCATTATAGAAAGTCGATTTAATCAGTTACACGGGTGGTTTTTGGTAGAAAAATTATAATTTTAATCGATAGTTGTTGAATATATAAAATGTACGCAGCGTTTCTATTGTGGTTGACGATAGTTCTTATTTTCATCTTAATAATTGTTTTTCAACATGCGAGTGAGTAATTTTAATATTTCTTTTGTCTTATAATAACATAATATTGTATTTTAATACACGTTTTGGAGTATGGCTCGTCTTGTAATACGTGCCATTGTTTTATTGTGATCGAATATTCAAAAGAACAAAGTTTTCAGTAGAAATTTTGTTAATGAATAAGAAATCTAGTCTTTCTATCCCATTCTTTCATATAAACATATTAAATATATTAGAATGTTGTGAAAAATATTGCTTTGTTGTTGTCTCCATATATATATATATATATATATATATATATATATATATGGAGACGAAACCTCTCAGCATTCCATGGATTAACCATGACGGGTGCCGTATGTACAATGTATATGTATATTTTGCACTAGGACGAGCATTAGTAATAATAAGTAGACTATACAATATCTGCAAAACTTATACATATATATTTTTACAACAAACTTCTTTCATACACTTCATACACGGTATGGTTTCTAGTTTCTCATTCAATAACCTACGTCAATACTATAATGAGAAGATATATGTATAAACGAAAAAATTAACGCTCCGTGTGTATCGTGCCTATACTTCTATATCCAATAATCTTGAACAGTCTAGATGCATTTAGCGATATTATAAATATTAATTACGTCATTATTTCTGATAATAATCTTTAGGAGTTGTCATTATTAAATTTAAATTACAACATTTTGATAGAAGGATTATAAATTAAAAATACGTGAAATAATGGAACAAAGCGATGAAAAGTTACAATATAGTATTATGAAATAAAAAGGAAAGTGCAGGTTAGGTGTGAAATTTTTGCATTTCACTGAAAATATCCGGATAATTATTAAAGTATGTTTACTTCTTCTTCTGGCAGTTTCCCAGTTTTAGCCAGAATCTGCCTTACATGTACAGGGTCTACCTGACATCAACCCTCTTTGGGAATGCATTAATCAGTGATGTCTAAATACTCTTAGGAAGTACATATGACTCGGAAAAATCACATTGGTACTTACCAGGATCGAACCCGCGTCCTCGTGCATTAGAGGCGGGCCTTTTAACCATTATGCGACCACTGTCTTCTTATGCTTTTAAATATGAATCTTCAATTCACAGCCGTTATTTGATATATTATATGTTTTGATAAATAAAAGAAAGTCGTGTTAGTTACATTATTTATAACTGAAGAACGGATGTACAAGTTTGGCTGAAAATTGGTAGAGAGATAGCTTAGAACGAGGGAAAGGACATAGAATACTTTTTATAAAATAATAATTTGATTAAATCCAAAATCTTCGTATCTACTGTTTTTAAGGACGAATAGAGTTCGCTCGATCCATTATACATTTCTAATTCTGAAACTAACGCGAACGAAGTCGCGGGCAAAAACTAGTGTATATATATTCAAAAATATTCTTACCTTCGTTATTACTACGCGTTTATTCACTATCGTTTTATCCAAAGGTTGTCTGGAAGAGATCGCTCTTAAGCGATAAGACTGTCAATGGCACTTTATTATACTATATATAAATACTTTATACAAATGCATGTCGCCTGTAAGTCTTTGTTGGTGGATAATAAATTGTATGGCTTTATAATATTAATTAAATAACGAAATCCGGGAATATAATGACAGTTTAAATGATCATACACATCTCGTCTGTCCGTGATCACGGTTGATGAAAAGTAACCGAAACGTCGGGAGTATGTAGTTTTTATCAAAAATAAAGTCGCGTAGTATATCCGAGAAATATTAGTTTCATTTAAGATCATTCAATGTTGATGAATGAATGATAATATATTTGTGAGTGATTGAATGAATATTAAATGCTACTATTTAATTCTACCCAGGGCAAGCTTGAAAGATATTAATAATATCTCAAATGAATTTAAAAGATTTCTTAATTTTTAAATTTTCATTATTTCACCAAAACAGTTTTTATAGCCTCCGAATAAGTTAGATAACACAATAATATCGAAATAAAAATATAGTTGTCGGTTGAAAAGACTTTTAATATCACATTCTTTAAAGAGCTTGGAGCTTTGAATAAAATATAAATAAATTAAAAAAATCTTCTCAAAAATTAGGATTCTAGCATAGCATCTAGCATCTTTTAAATATTTAAATAATAAGTAAAATGAAGAACATATTCTGCTTAAATAATCATACTTTCCACCTGTATTTAATCCATAATAAAAAGTAAGGAATAAGCCATTCTGAATTACTATGATAGGCAATTCATTTTATTCAAAATCTTGATTTGACAGTTGTATTCAATTTATATAAACAAATATGTACCTTATTACATATGCACACGGTCGTAAATCCAATGAAGCTATCTCCAATACAATCTATATATTGAAAATCACATTTTTTTTTGGTACATTTGATTTAGAACCAAAATGCTATTACAATAAGTATTCTATTTCTGTGTCAAATTCTTTATCATTGCATTCTAGGTGAGATTGATGATTTTCATCAGAAGACATTTTTTTATTAGTAACTTAAGAGATCGCTTCTTTGAAATATTGTGCCTTTTTTGCTTGCCTTAAGTTTGTTAAGCGAACTTATGTGTATCAAGTTATAATTCATAATAATCTTTAGCCGATTTTTGCTTTAAAATCGGCTTAAAGCTTTATAGAAGTATTCTTTAGTGACTTCAAAGTGTTTAATAAGACTTTATAATGATAATTGACAATAGTGACGCGAGGCCAATGGCTATTGGTTCAGCAACTTCAATAATTTATATTTCAATTTTCTCTACTATGTTAGTTATGTCTTTCATAATATTGTGCATCAAAGTCGCTGCCATAGGTAAATATATTTAATAATAACCATCTCAGAATTACAAATATGAAATAAAAGTAATATTTTCGAATGTACTACGCGTTTTTTTATTATTTTAAATACATACTTACTCCCGACGTTTCGGTTACTTTGCATAAACCGTGATTTGTAGACGAGATGAAAAATCTTTTTCATGTACTTATGTAGTTTCAAATACTAAAAAATGCGTAGTATATACGAAAATATTAGTGTTATTATCAGTTATTGATAGATAGAAAATTTATGACAATATATATATACCTCTTTGTCTGTCCAATTAACTACGTCATACTCTTTACACATATAAAGTGATTCAAAGGAATTATAAATTTACTATAAGTGACAATACTCATCTTGAAGTGAAATTAATTGAAATATTATTTCTATTTACTTTTAATACCACATTACTTAATCTTCTTATATTTGTAATACATATGAGCTATTTTATTTTAGAACTCAAGTCCTATATTTACATATTAGGAGATTAACGTACGTAAACTAAAAGTTGGGTATTTCATATTAACTAGTTTTCTATTTATTTCATTGCTTAACAGATAATGACAAGTCAAAGAAAAAATATTATTTTGTAATAATTTTATTTTTCTCCTACATCTTATTTACGTAAATGACAAAGTAATGCGTTTTGCTATTATTTTTCAGTAGGCGCGAATTATCAGATAATTTTTCAATCCCAAACAAGATAAATTTAAATATTCCGATATTTGATAAAATTTACTATTGAAGATAATTCAGTGAAATCCTTAATATTGAGTGAATTTCTACTTTCATTTATTTAAAATAAGTTATAAGATAATAATAAAAAAACTTCAGTTTTGTTTATTATCATCATCGGTCTATCAGAGCCCACTGCTGTAAGGCCTCTTCTCACATGTAGAAGGTTTGAGCATTAATCACCACGCTTGCTCAAGACGGGTTGGTGATTTCAAACTTATAATTTGTAATTCTAAATCCAGGATTCCTCACGATGTTTTCCTTTATCTTTGTATATAATTAATACCAATAGTACACAACGTAATAAAATCGACATACTTAATCCCGACAAAAGTGAAAATAGATAAAAATGTATAAAGTATATAATAAGATATGTCAGTATATCAATAGATAAAAAACATTGTGTGACTTCAAAAGAGATTAGTTCAAACAAACAATCATAACGTACAACCGTACCAATAAAATGGAAAAAATAAAAATAAAATTATAAAGTGTTTTAAAACCGAATATTGAGACACTCTTATAAATTGTATATGCAATTTTTGAAGAGTGTACCTACCCAAAAAATTTTATACTTATTTTGCTTGATTTTCAAGCGATATTAAAGTTATTTGAAGTTGAAGTGTTAGTGCAATATGCCAGCTATATATGTTGATGCATTCGAGTACAGTGATGATGAAGATAAGGATTCTCCAAGTAGTGGAACATCACATATTACCATGTGGTACATGATGGTTCTATTGGCCCTACTACTTATATGGTTCATGGTGTACTTCTGTCTGCGATTATTGACATTAAGTATGATATATTTGTATTATTTTTATCATATAAAATATATTAATCATTATCAGCCTATCAGAGCCCACTGCTGAGCCTCTTCTCACATAGAGAAGATTTGAGCATTAATCACCACGCTTGCTTAACGGGTTGGTGATTTAAAACTTATAATTTGAAATTATAAGTCCAGGTTTCCTCACAATGTTTTACTTCATCTGTTAGTGGTGTCTAAATACTCTTAGAAAGTACATATGACTCGGAAAAATCACATTGGTACTTATCATTTTTAGAACCCGCGCCCTCATGCATGAGAGGCTTAAAAATATTTGTAAAAATAGTCACCTTATTTAGTAGGTAAAGTAATAAAATTAATTTCATTCGAGTAAAGGTAAAGGTATTAATAAAATATGCATATAGTATTTCTGCATAAGGTAAATATCTTTTCTTGTAAAATATATTTCGTAACAGTATGTAGGTATTATCAAAATTTTTTCGTGATATCATTTTGAATTTCGATAAAACTCATGTGATCAAGTGAATCACGATACAGATGATAAATGAAAAAGAATATATATATATATATATATATATATATATATATATATATATATATATATATATATATATATATGTGTATTTTAATATTAAATTTAATATTTAATATTTTAATATTAAAGAATACTTGATGCACAGCTGTATATTGTATTTAATTTTATGAGTTTGGTTATCACAATAAGATTATTTTGAAAAATACTTTTCAATTCTACGACAATAAAAGGTTGTTTTACATATAATTCTACCGTACGTTTGTATGTCACTGAACTTCTAAAAGACTGGACTCCTAAACCTCATACACTCATGGTTTTGGTTTGGTTTGGTTAAGTTATTGAAATTGAAAAGTTGCAACATAGGACACTATATAAGTAAGTAAGTCTTAATACGCTTTATACATTTATTTCTGAGCGCAACTCTGATGTACGCGTGGACAATGTCGCGGCCAAAAACTAGCTAGATATACTAGTTTAAATGTATATTTTTTAACACAAAAAGGGAAAATCCCTTAAAATATCAAGAAACTCTTATCATAATGCTATATCATATCTTCTTTTACCTTAGATAAAGATTTTTTGTGTTTCAAATATTTATTAGCATTTATTGTAACACATCTTTGTGTTTAAAGTTTCTATTAAATGAAAGACGTAATATATTTAAATTGAATATTAATTTTAATATATTGAATATTAATTTTATTATACAGGGTGACTGGTGAATTACTATCAATAATTAAGGACGTGATATTTGACGATCATATATGACAAAATAAAAATTAATATAACATAAATATTAATAAACTTCTAAGTAAAGTTAACCAAAAGTTGTGTAATTAATTACGCATCGTATGAACACCCTACAGATTAGCTATTAGGTACACACACACATACGCGCGCGGCGGCGTGTTGTTGTATCAGCACGCCTCCGCACGCGTTCACACTTGGAACACTTGGAACGAGTACACACTTTATATATTTATACGGAAATTTGGTCAAAAATTAAGTACCTATTTTTTTTACATAATTCGAATGAGAATCATGTACCGAGTATGCTCCTTAAATATTGATAGTAATTCACCAGTCACCCTGTATATACATATAAATAAAAAACGTACGGTGAACGAAAACATCGTGAGAAAACCTGGACTTATAATTTTACAATTATAAGTTTGAAATCGCCAACCCGTCTTACAAGCGTGGTGATTAATGCTCAAATCTTCTCCATGTGAGAAGAGGCTATGCTCAGCTGTGGGCTCTGATAGACTGATGATGATATAAATAAGATAAACGTAAGCATAAAGTCTTTGGTCTTTTGACTATAACTTTGACATTTAATTATTACAGGGAAAATACTTTAATTACACTAAAAAGATTTAATACATGATATGTTTCTAATAGAAATAATATGTTTATTTGTTTCTAATTATTACGCCAATTATAGTAATCTTCTATAGATACGGATGCGTCAATTTGTCTACAAAATACTACTTTATAGATAAAACAATTCGATTGTGACGTAGACGATCTGTTGTCATTTGTTTTTGAATATCCTAACATTTGCGTCAATATTATACAGTACTAGGTTTTGTACGTGACTTTGTTCGCTTAATTTCGGAATAAGTATTACATGTATAGCTGACGGGGGAAATCTATTCCGCCCTAGCGGCCACAAATAACCAGAAATTGCAATTTATTAAGATTTCTTTTCTTTTTCGATTGAACAAATTTAAATATCATATGTCCGTGTCTTTTTTCTAAGCTTAGAATAGCTCCCTGCCAATTTTAAACCCTATCCCAACATTCTTGAGTTGTAAATAGAGTTTATATAGTCACCATCAGCCTATTGCTGACCACTGGTGAACAAAGACCTGTTCTCACATGGAAAAGGTTAGAGAATTAATCACCACGCTTGCTCAAAGTGGATAGGCGATTTTAAATTTATAAATTGGTAGTATAAGTCCAGGTTTCCTCACGATGTTTTCCTTCATCTGTCAGTGATGTCTAAATACTCTTAGAAAGTACATATGAATCGGAAAAATCATATTGATACTTGATTGGCAATTCCATGAGAGGCGGGCCTTTAACCCTCATATGCAATTCTTATTTCATTTAAATGAAACTAATGTTTTTAAGGTGCACTACGCGATCTTAAATGAATACTCGATAAAATCTTAGATCTCATTGATTCTTAAAAAACTTTTATACCCACAAGTTAGCAAAACCTTTGATACTATTATTCTTTAATATATGATTTATAAAAATCTACATCAAAACTCCTCTGAATCGTATTAACTAAAATACTACTAGTCCAAAAAACAGAAGAAAGTCGTGTTTGAGAACCAATATACGTACGGAGGTTTTCTAAATTATTAAGATAAATATAAAACAATATTTCCCATAAAATACAATATAACTAAAGTGATTACGATATAGTAACTAGAAATAAGATTATAAAATTTAACAAATCCTACCCAAGTTAGTAAAAATTATTACAGCTCGTTGACTTAACCTCTAGTGAAGTGTCAATTACAAAAAAAAATCGGTAAAATGAAAATAATGAATCCGCAAGAATTCATATTACTTTTAAATATTTTATGTATGACGAACTTACCGATGTTTCAGTGACATGTACCTTAGTAAGATTTCTTTACTAACTTCATACCGATAGTTTCATCTTAAGAAATTCACAGATTCCGCAATAATTTGTTAACTATTGTCATCGAATATTTATATATAAGTATGTATAAAAAAATATATTTTTTGCGAAAGTACCTGGTACTTCATTCATCATTATTTTCTGAGTACATTTTCGCTAAACATACATACATTCTGCTTTATTAAAAGAAGCTAATTCATGTATTCATTTAAATGTAAATAATGAATTTTTTGATATATAATTACTTTCGAATTGACTGTAACTGTTAGCCCTAACAGATTTGAAAGCCTTACCGGGGGGGGGGGGGTCGCTCGATGAGTCCTAGCTATTAAATTCGAATCTGAAGGGCCTTGTAAAACAACTAAGAATAGTATTAGGTTACTCAGTAATTGTGTGTTTATAGATTAACGATATATCTTTTTAATCTCATAAGGTAATAAACTACAAAGTCATTGTTCTGAAAGCACTTAAATCTAAGATTTTAGCGTGTAATTATTTAAATCTATAATTGTATATTTAGAATTTAAACATTTATATAAAAACAGCTATTCGGTTTTATTCGGCTACTCGGTAAAGCCGTAACTTTTTGTTTAGGTTAAACGCCAGAAAAACGATATTGAGAGATTTTGAGACCTAAGATTTTCGCGAGTACTCATTTAAATGAAACTAATATTTTCGAATTTACTTCGCGATTTTTTTTTTTGACTATAAACTACATACTTTCGACGTTTCGACTACTTTCCAGCAACTGTGATCACGAGCAGACGAGTCGTGAGTGTAACGTCGGGAATTTTTTTATCACAATTTGTATAATGATTTTCAAACACACACATAAATGTATATATGTGTGTGCATGCAATAAACTTTAACATTACCGCTGCATATGAATGTAAAATAAATAATGAATATCTCGTCATTATAATAACATAATTCCTATACAATTAAAACACAGGTGACGCCACGTGTATTAACTAGTGATTTAATGATGCACGTGTATGCGGCACATAGCACGTTTTCCCGCAGTATTGAAAATATAGATATTATTTAAGATTCCTATCAGAATTATCAATTATTCATTGATTTCCTTTTACTGTGACTAATATATCTATACAAGAAAGTCGTGTCCGTTGCACTATTTATAACTCAGGAACGGCTGTACGGATTTTGGCTGATAATGGGTCTAGACATAGCTTAGAACAAGCGAACTTACTTTATACTTTCATGCTATTAAAAAAGAAAAGAAAAATAAGTTGATCAAATCCAAAATATTCTTATCTACTGTCTTTAAGGAGGAATAGAGTTTGCCCGGTCAGCTATACATTTATAATTCTGAAACTAACGTAGAAGAAGTCGCGAGCAAAAACTAGTATATATATATATAAAGATACCAGTCCTTAATTCGCCTAATTAACCGTGATAGATTTCACGATAATCTCAACCCAAAAATAAATAAAACTATATTATTTTTTTTATCATAGAATTAAATAAATAAAAACATTAATACAATATAACATAATAACCTGAATAATATTTGAGGACTTCGCAGACGTCATTACCTAGTGGACTATTATTGTAATCCAACGATTGTATATCTCATTGATAAAAGATATAAACATATAAAATACAATGTTTTAGTCTTCCGCATCATTTCCTACTTGTTATAACACAGACGGCGTAACATTTATATTATTAACGGATTTTTCGAGTTATTTAATTAAAATGTGTAACATTAACTGACATTTCGAGTTTTTTTTGTAAAATATTGTTGATGTTAACGAATATTTCGGGTTTTGATGGACAGTATTTATGGTGTTAATGGATATTTCGAGTTAAGTTTCGAGTTAGACCACTCATTTATTAGAATAAGTGACGTAAAGGTTTAATTAAATATGGATACAAGTACAGATGAACCCATTAGTGACGAAGGACATCCTCCTTTGGTTTATTTCGTGTGGTATATAACAGTGTCGTGTTTGTGTTTAATATTTATAATTATATTACTCGTAGCTGGTAGAATGTTACAATTAAGTATTATAGGTAATTATTTGGTAATTTATAAGCTTATCGTGAAATAAATCTTATTATATTCCTTGAAAGTAATCCAATAGAAATTGACGAAAATAGCTCATTTCTTTTTCATGTTCTTGTGATTTGGTAATAAGCCAAAAATTAAGAATGATATTATAAACATGTGAATAAAATTTAATATTTTATTTTATATGATAACAATACAGTTATAATTTCAATGTTATTCTACATAATACGTATCAAGTTGACAACATATCGGAAACAACTCTAGTGCTAGAGCTAAACTTAAATATTGTTTTATTTATTTCATAAGTATTAATTAATATACAGGCATCCATTGAATATCACCTTGAACAATTCATATTATATACATATATAATATGTTAAAAATATATAACATCTAAGAAACATTTTGCAATGCAATCCAAGAGTCATGAATTTCAAAGTGGTTAATCTTAGAGTATTCAAGCGTAATTCAAACGAAAATTTTCTTTATTTACAGGACAAAAGACGCGAAATTCACAGCAGAGGCGGACTTATATGGGATCCCGACAACGACCTTCGGAGACTCCATCAGAACCTACTATATATGTCAGTCCAGCAAACTTGCCGCCTCCGCCTAAATATGGTGAGCAAAAATCATATACAAATTTTTATTAAAATAATGTTTGGTATCATTACAATTATACATATATCATTATTTATACGGATTTCATAGAGAACGTAACTAGTATGTAGTTATATTCATTTTGTATCGTGAAATTTGAAAAAAAATATTTGAAAATCTCTTATCGTTTTATTAGTAAGAATATGACACATAATTTTTTTCTTAAAATCAAATGCATTTGAAAAATTAATTGTATTTTCCTTGTATATGATAAAGTAATACCAATGAAACCAAATAATATACATTTGTACAAAGAAAAATTCAGTTTAACAAAAATAGATATCTCTAAATCCGTCTCAAAACAATTGAGGTTTATTGATAATTTGGACAAAATTCTAATAATTTTGTTTATCATGAAGAAGTCATTTAATTTAAAATTAAATGAGTAATAGTAATTATTAGTAAATTTCATAATAAATATAATTATATCTCTAACCTTATCCAACGTCATATCAGGCACTCGTAGCTCAAGAATCTTAAATAACATATACAAAGAAAACATTCACTTGGAACACATTTTGTTAAATGACTCATATAGTCTACATATTAATTACCTCAATTATAAATATTTATATGAATTTTTAGGTCAAAGAAAGATCATTAGGTACTTTTTTATAGATTAGATTGTAAATTAGGTCAAAGATTTTGGGTAATCTGTCATTTAATATATATAATTATTATTTAAATATTCAATTTCAATATCTATCATTACAGAGGCTATGGCGCCGCCCAGTTACGAAGAAGTGGTTGGAATACACTATCCAAATTTCCAACCAATATCACAACCAATCACAACAGCTTTAGCACAAAGCTCGAACACAACAGAAACAACAGCTAATAATAATAACGATAATGGAAATAACGGAAATAACGTTAATAACGAAAATAATGTTAATAACGAAAATAATGTTAATAATGTTAATAACGTTAATAACAGGCCACCTACAGTTGTTATATCCGTGCCAGTTGCTAGTTCATGATTTTAGTGAATTAAATTATTTATTGTACCGGTTAAAAACGGTTCGTACTGCATTTAAATGTACATTGCGGGTTTTATGTGCATAAGTGTATAAGATGTTTTAGATAAATCCGAAGCCTTTTTCAATATATATGAAACAAATAAAAAGGCTTCAAATTTATTATCGAAGATCTTAACGAAGCTGTCGTTATATACATTTTAATGAAATAAATAAATATATCAAGTTGAATTCTGTAATTAAATGAACACAATTTTTTAAATGAACAATGTTATAATATATATATTTGTATAATAATTGTCAGTCTCATTAAAGAGGACGCAGACTGACATTTATTTTAAATACTATTATACATTTATTATTGTTAAATATCCAAAATTATATTATAATAATATATTTATATTAAATGTTAGTTATAAGTAATGTTTCTTTTATTTCTCTATTTCTTATTACCTCGCTTATATTGTGTATTTGCAACGTAATTTTGTGCTGGTAAGTTCATATGGTCTTGTTTCAGTATAGTTAAAATTTATTTATGATGTATATAAATAATATTGTTATTGACAATATATTTCATTAAATTTTCTCTTAGGAATGTCTTCAAAAGATACAATTAAAAAATATATGTAAAATATAAATTCTTATATATTTTTATTATAATTTTTAATGAATACTATCAATTATTTATAAAAAAATATTAGACTAAATTAAAATGGTGTACTGAAATATCATTTCCATTATAAATATATGTACATCGTCGACTTCTCCACGCTTCAAAGTCAATCCTTATAAGGTTTTTTTTTTTTTTTTTTTTTTATGGGAAAAGGGGGCAACTGAGCAGACGGCCTACTTGATGGTAGGTAGTTACCGTCGCCCATGGACATCCGCAACGTAGATTTGCGGATGTGTTGCCGCCCTTGATTGGGGAAAAGGAGGAGGAAAAGGTGGGAACGGGAGGGAAAGGAAAGGTTGGGAAAAGGGACAGGGCAACCGGCTCTCTCACTCACCGGACGAAACGCAGCCTTTAAAGACTACTTTACGCCGATTTTCTGTGAGAGGGTGGTACTTCCCCGGTCGAGCCAGCCCATGTTCGAGCTGTAGTAAATTGACTACAGCTAGGCTCTACCACCTCAAAAAATGTGGTTGTGGCAATAGGCATATTTTGCTGAATGCCCTCCGAACAATTCCATTTGCAGTCCTTACATCTGCTACTCGAATAACACCATCGGCTCCTGGGTACACATTGACGATTCGACCCAACTTCCATCTGAGCGGTGGTAGATTGTCATCCTTCAGAACGACGAGACTGTTAAGTTTAAGGTAGTTTTCGGATTTTTGCCATTTCATCCTCATCTGAAGACCCGAGAGATACTCCTTACTCCATCGTTTCCAAAACTGTTGACGGAGTTGCTCAAGTCTTTGATAACGCGTCAGCTTGTTGATGTTTTGAGCTTCGTAATTTGGCGCCGGCAGTGAAGTCAACGAGCGTCCGATGATAAAGTGTCCGGGTGTAAGAGGCAATAAATCTCCAGGATCTGTAGACATGTAAGTTAGTGGCCGGGAATTCAGTATGGCTTCGATTTGTACCAATACAGTATAAAGCTCCTCGTACGTAAGATTACAATTTCCCAGTACTCTTTGTAAATGATATTTTGTAGACTTGACACCTGCTTCGCTCAAGCCATTATAATGTGGTGCATAAGCTGGAGTAAAAATGAAATTCGATGCCATCATCGGCAACAGTCTCAGATAAAACATCACTATTGGTTTTAATAAAATTTGCAATATCGTTGCACGCGCCAACAAACGAAGAACCGTTATCAGAGTAAATATTTTTAGGTTTCCCCCTACGAGACATAAATCTACGCAAAGCTAACAAGAAACAATTGCTCGTTAAATCGCCAACTAATTCGATATGCATTGCTTTAGTAGAAAAACATACGAAAATTGCAATATACGCTTTCAGTGATCTACTTCCACGACCTTGTCGACTAACAATCATAATTGGACCAGCATAATCGATTCCTACGTTCTCGAAAGGATAACTGACAGATACACGCTGTTTTGGTAAATTTCCCATTATAGGTGAAACTACCTTAGGCTTTAATCGAGCACACCGGATACATTGTCGATAATATAACTTGGCCAAATTCCTACCTCCTATTGGCCAAAACGATTGGTTAATCGTACTCAGTAACAGTTGCGGACCTGCATGTAATAGTCGTCTATGCTCGTAATGAAATAATAATTTAGTGAAAGGATGTTTCGAATGAATCAAAATCGGATGTTTTTTATCAAATGTAAAGTTACCATGTTCTAAACGGCCTCCAACACGAAGAATTTTAAAATCATCGAGGAATATATTTAATTTGAGTAACGCGTTTTTAGCAGGTAAGTTTTTATTATTTATTAAAAGTTCATATTCCGGAAAAGATTGTTTTTGTGATATTTTGATTATAAAATTTAATGCATTATCCAATTCTTCGACAGTTAAAAATTTATCTTTAATTAATTCTTTCTTACAAATTCGAATAAAGCGTAAAACATAAGCTACAGTACGTTTAAGTCTAGATAAATTAGAAAATCTATTAAAATCAATGAATTCATTGTTATTATTTTCTACAGCTATATTTGCATTATTTACAGAACGTAATTCTGGAAGAGTTTCAGAACTAGCGGGATTAGGTGGCCAATTTGACATATCTTGTCTTAAAAAACTTGGGCCTGACCACCAAATCTCAAGCGACATCAGAGCCTTAGCATTAACACAGACATCTAGAAATGGTGCACTGGCTGTACCATAGGTCACCGTATTTAATTGATAAATATCTAAATTCTCATCTGTATTATTACGCCAGATGATTCTTTGAAGGTGTCTATCGTCTGGATGTACCGAAATCTGTCTGTACATTTTCTCCACGTCAGCGGACAAAGTGTACTTATGCTGCCTAAATCTCAAAAGAATACTTAAAAGATCGTCCTGTATAGTTGGACCGACCATTTGAATTTCATTAAAGGAAACTCCCGTATTAGTAGGACTACTAGCGTTAAACACGACCCTTAACTTTGTTGTCGAACTATTATCACGCCAGACACCATGATGCGGGATAAAATAAGAAAATTCATTAGATTTTAAATTAGATTTGGACATATGGCCTAGTGATAAATATTCCAACATAAAATCATGATATTTAGTTTTAGTAAAGGCTAATTATTATTAAGACGACGTTCAGGAGATAAGAAACAATGTTTAGCACGCTGATAAGACTCACCTAAAGTTTCAATATTATTTTTTAAAGGGATTCTCACGCAAAAGCGGCCATCTGGAAGACGGGAAGTATTATTAATAAAATGTTCTTCGCACGTTTTTTCTTCCTTAGAATAATAGGAGGATTTATAATTAATTTCCTCTAACTGCCAAAATCGTGATAAATTCTCTTGAATAACTTCATTTGAATCTAAAAAATCATTATCAGACTTTATTTGTGCTAAATTACATTTAAGGTGTGCTGGCCAGCGATTCGATACATGACCGCTAAGCATGGGTCCAGAAACTATCCAACCAAGTTTAGTTTCAAAAAGTATCGGTTTGCCGCTACCTAGCTTAACAATTTGTGATCCTAATAAATCCCAAAAGAGGTCAGCACCAATGATTAAATCAATGTCTCCGAGTGCATAAAATTTAGGATCAGCTAAATTAATATTAGATTCGATACCTAACATCGAAATGTCTAAATGACTATAAGGCACTTTGCTTATGATCGATGGTAAAACAAAACAAGTAACATTTGTAAAATAATTATTATTTAAAGATTTCATTTGCACACGACACATTTTACCTATTGTTAGAGTGCAATTATTTATTCCTGTTACAGAACGATCGACATTATGATAAGGTAAGTTTAATTTATTACACATATTTTCTGTAATAAAACATGATGTACTTCCGGAATCAAGTAACGCACGAGCAATATATTCCTGATTTCTGGAGTCATACAACTTAACAAGAGCTGTTGATAATATGTAGTACATCATGATTACCTTTGTTTGAATTTTTCAAACATGCCGATAAAGAAATATTTGATCTCGAAGTAGAATTCATATTGTTCGAATCACTCTTATCCGTGTTTAATGATCCAGCATTAACTGGTGATTGCGACTTCGAACCTGATACATGGATAAGCGTATTATGCCGACGTTTACATATCCTACAACCAGGCTTTTTGCATTGGTTTGCATAGTGACCAATATGTAAACAATTGTAACATATTTTATAGTTAGCTAAGAGTTTCAATCGCTGTTCATTATTAAGACCTAAAAACTTCGGAAAATTTTTAAGCGGATGCTCACCTTTACATTTAACGCAGGGTTTAGGTGTAGATGAGGCTATAGAAGATTTATCGTGAGCCTGGCTTAGACTTGCAATAGAAACCATGCTTTTAAATTTCGTGTTCTTTTTAATAGACTGGTGAGAATGATTACTACTTCGCGATAACTCTAAGGCCTCTAGCAAATCAGCACGATTACGCAAGAAATTTATAAATATGTCTAGTGTAAGAGGTTCACCCTTACCAAGACGGCTCTTAAGTTCCTCCCATTCGCGATACGTCTTAGTATCTAATTTTTGTATTATAATATGTATCAACAATGTATCCCAGTGTTTAGTCGGTTCGCCTAGAGAATCTAAAGCTCTTAAATTTTTATTTATTTGATCAATTAAACGCTTAATAGACACGGATGACTCTTTAGTAATTAAATCAATGTTGAATAATGCCGTCACGTGATTTTGAATGAGCAATCGTTTATTATCAAACCTTTCGCATAATATCTTCCAAGCAACAGGGTAAGTCTTCGCTGAAAATTCAATGGACTGTATAACTAAGGCGGCAGAGCCCTCTAGTGATGCTCTCAAATAATGAAATTTATTAATGTTGTCAATTGCGTCGTTGGAGTGAATAAGACTAGAAAAAGTATCATGGAACTCTAGCCAGTTATCATAGGAA